ACGTTTTATAATTTTGTGTATTTTTAAATTTTTTATTCATTCTTTTTGTCGTTTTGTTTTGAGTCGAGTTTCTCCTATTTGTTTATTTATTTGTTTGAATTTATTCTTCTCTCACACATTAACCCTGACAGCAGTCTGCCCTTCCTCCACTCCTTCTAGTCCCCCTTCCCCCCTTGAGCCAAGCGTCCTCCATTTCCCTTCAGAAAAGAGCAGCCTTCCCAGGGATATCAACCAAGTAGAGCACAACGAGTTACAATAAAACTCGACAAACCCTTATCTACCTGTAGCAGAAAAGGGATCCCACAAGCAGGCAAAAGAATCAGAGACAGCCCCCACTCCCACTGTTTGAAGTCCCACAAGAGCACCAAGCTACACAATCATAACATTTATGCAGGGAACCTAGGTCGGACACATTCAGGCTCCATGAGAGCCACTTCGGTCTCTGTGAGCCCTATGAGCCCTGCTTAGTTGATTCTGTGGTCAGTGTTCTCTTGGTGTCCTCAACCCCTCTGGCTCCTACAGTCCTTCCTCCTCTTCATCTTTGGGGTTCTGTCTAATGTTTGGCTGTGAGTCTCTGCATCTGCTTCCATCAGTTGCTGGATGAAGATTTGGTCAGGCACAGATCTCTTCTGGATGGAGCGACCTGCACTTGAGCAGGCTCATTCAATACTTTTGTAGCTTTTACCTTTATATTTATCCCCAATCACTCCTTGCTGTTTTAAAAACATTCCCCCTTCATATATTTACGTCATTTACTTAGCACCTAAAGTCACCAACTTGCAACTCTATTCAACAGCTTTCAAACTCAGCCCCTGGGAGACACAGGCAGGCAGATCTCTGTGAGTCTGAGACTACCCTGGTCTAAAAAGTGAGTTCTATGCCAGTCAGGGATACATAGAGAGATCCTGTCTCAAACTCTGTTGCTTGACCCATTGAGAAAACTATAAATCAAGTATGGCTGCTAATTGTGAGAACTTAGAAGCATCCTTTATTAGGGACTTTTATATTTAAGGAGGTTAAATGGTCTTCTGTAAATGTATTCCAAAAGAGTGTAATAATATGCCTTTAATCCCAGATCCCAGCACTTGGGAGGCAGAGGCAGGTGGATCTTTGTGAGTTCGAAGCCAGCCTGGTCTACAAGAGCTAGTTCCCAGACAGGCTCCAAAGCAATAAAACCAAAAAAAAATAGAGTGATTAGTTTTAATTTTGCTTTTGTTTTAAATGTCTTTGCTTAGCCAAAAACAAGCAAAACAAAACAAAATGGAGCTATTAGGTTGGTTCCATTTGAAGAAAATTGGTTTGGTAAATCTAAAACGTTGAGAACCTCTTAGTTTCAAGAGTGTAAAGTAAAATAGGATGAATATTTGGAGTAGTCCATCTGCTTGGAAGGTTTCCAAATCCAACCCTAGAATTGTTTCAGAAATTTACTCCTCTGTGTTAGGAATAATACAAAGTTAAGGACCTTCAACCCACTTGAGCTGGGGCATCATTGTTTCTTCTGACTAGCTGTGAGAATCTCACATGTTACTTAATTGAACAAAACTAGTATTTTATTTTTCTCTACACACTTAATTTGTCTAGGATAGAGGCTTCTTATAGGATACAGGTTTTTTAAAAAAATCCTTCCAAAGTAATGATCTTCCTTATGCCAATAATCCTAGCACTTGGAAAGCAGAGGCAATGGGGATTGCTAAATTTAGGTCATCCAGGGCTAAGACACACACATACACACACACACACACACACACACAGACACACACAGACCTCTTATACAGAGCTTATTTTCTTGCTTTGCACACACACATACACACACCCCTCTTATACAGAGCTTATTTTCCTGCTTTGCACACACACACACACACACACACACCCCTCTTATACAGAGCTTATTTTCTTGCTTTGCATGCACTTTCACCTTAAGTACAGCAGTGTTCCTCTGACACCTTCCTCCCTGTGTGCCACCATCACCATCAACTCCGCTTTGTCATTGTTATCCTCAGACCTTTTGCTGAGATGTGTGATCACCAGCAGAGGCATCAGACTGGCTGTGACAGGGAAGGGAGCATGGCTCTCTGGGAATTTGAAAGAAGTGACAAACTCATTGTAACTTGGCATGAGGGAAAGGCAGAAAATGGGCCACTTAAAGCACTTGGATCGCTTCTGAAGTTGACTCCTTAGAAGAGTGACATGTGAACCTTAAGTATCGTTAGCACAAGGAGCCCAGGCTGTGCTGAGTCATGGGTAAAACTTGTTTCTAAACGATGAAGGAGTGCTGGAAGGTTCTCTTTGCCTGCACCATGGTGGTTGGAGATGGGAGCAGAGGAGCGGATAGGGACTGGAGGACAAGGAAGGACAGTGGGACAGAGACGGGGTCTGCCTTCTTGTTCCCTGCCCTCCAGCCCGAGGCTGAAGACAGGATGTTCTGTGTCTACAGTGCAGTCTTCCAGTTTCTGCCTGGTCCCTGTAGCAAGGATAGTGCTTCATCTGGAGACTGTACTCATCTGGGATGCTTGTCCAGACTGGAAAACAAGGAAGCTCCAAAGAAATGGATAAAGAAGTGTTAAATGAGTATTTTGGCCAGGCAGTGGTGGCACACGCCTTTAATCCCAGCACTTAGGAGGCAGAGGCAGGCGGATCTCTGTGAGTTCGAGGCCAATCTGGTCTACAGAGTGAGTTCCAGGACAGTCTCCAAAGCTACACAGGGTAATCCTGTCTTGAGAAAAAAGAAAAACATAAAAACAAAACCCCCCAAAACCAAAAATGAGTATTTTGTGCTTAGTAAACACTTTCCAGCTCCAAAATGTTAAGGATAATATAAACACAAAGCAGGAGAAATATGCAAATAAGCATGACTCAGTTTCCCCTAGAAGTTTGTCATGGGATGATTCCGAAAGTACATTGAAATTAGAAGTACCCAAATAAAAGTCTATATTAATTAGTATTTGATATTTGTTTGCTTGTTTGTTGTGAGGGTCTCATTGTACAGCCCAGGCTTGCCTGAAATTCACTATACAGCCCAGGCTAACTTCAAGCTTGCTGTGATCCTCCTGCCACCATACCCAGATCTAGTAATTGACTTAAAAAGGTGATTTTCAGCCTGATCTACAGAGGGAGTTCCAGGACAGTTTCCAAAGTTACACAGAGAAACGCTGTCTCGAAAAACAAAAAACAATGAAAAAGATTGTATCTTACTATTTGAATCAGTATTTAGCAGTATTTCTATATCTAACCCTGGCAGTAGAGGAGCTTTTTATGTTTTTTTTCATCTCCAGTGCTACATATAGCAATCCCCATGATAGGCAATCAATAAACAGTAGAGATTGTATCGCAATAGCTAATCATTGGGCAGTCCTTAGGAAAAAAATTAAAAAGCAATCAAACTTTCACTCCTCTCCTGAAATTATGGCATGTTAACATAAGAGTCCATGTAAACTGATGTCTGTACCTTTGTGTATAAAAACCCAACAGCCAATAGAGAAAAGATACAGTGATTCAGAGAACATCCAAACAACGCACACAACGAAGCTGTAAAACAGAATAAGACAATGACCTAAATATAACTCCATACTATATTATGTTTTAAACACACAACACAGCCCTGCACAGTGACACACACACACACCTATAATTCCATCTTTATGAAGCTAAAGTTAGAAAGACTGAGAGTTCAAGTCTAGCACGAGCAACAGAGTGAGATCCTACCTTGTTAATAAACAAATATCAAACAAACATTGCAAATTAATATGTATTATCTAATTTCAGCACTGTGTACAAGGGAAGAATTCCCCCAGAAGGGTGCCTGCCAAGTGTAAAAAGGGATCATCAGTGAAAGTTATTAGAAGGATCTTTTTACTTCCATACTGGTAGACTTTGTGACGTGTTAAGGTTGTGGTTAGCTTTAACTGTTGTGGTTTGAATAAGAAAGCTTCTCCATAGTCTCATGAATGTGAACTCTTGGTCCCTACTTGGTAGAACAGCTTCGGGAAGATATTGGGAGGTGTGGCCTTGCTGGAGGAAGTATGTCACTGGGCCTGGGCTTCGAGAATTTTCAGTCTTCGCTCATTTCCAGTTTGCTCCCTGTTCATGTGTTTGCAGCTGAAGATAGGATCTCTCAGTTTTCTGCTCTGGCCTGCTGCCATGCCTCCCCTGCCATTATGGACTCTCCCTCTGGAACTATAAGCTTAAGTAAGCTCTTTCTTCCATAAATCGCTTTAGGTCATGCTGTCTTACCGCAGGAATAGCAAAGTAACTAATACAGCCAACAGCTTGACTCAACCTAGAATGACTTGTGAAGTGTCTCTCCTCTTTAATAAAACAGGGTTTTTCTCTGTAGCCCTGGCTGTCCTGGAACCCACTCTGTAGACCATGCTGGCTTCCAATTCAGAGATCCACCTGCCTGTGCCTGCTGAATTAAAGGAATGCACCACCACCACCCAGCAGAAAGTCTTAATAGAGGATTGTTTAGCTTGTGTGACACTAGCTAAGAATCTTTCTCACCCGGAGTGGCTTCAGAAGGGAGGGGGTTTTAACGTTGCAAGGATAGTGGCTGCCAGCCTTAGCCTTAGGTAGGTAATACTGGGCTCTATAGTAAACAAAATTCCCCATATAGTCTGGAAAGGCTGTTTGTCAAATTGAACTCCAACCACATCTGAGATTAGAAGAAAACTTTGACTATATTGTTCTTCAAGAGTTTCGGCTAGCTGCCTCCTCCCTAACAGCCGTCCTTTTACATGCCTTTGCCTGGATTTGCCCTTTCTTTGTTAGGCAGGTATAACCCCACCCACACCAGGCATACCCTCCCCCCACCAGGTATACCCTTCCCCCACCAGGCATAAAGCCCTACCGCTGAGGTACATACATACATCTAAGACTTGTTCAAACTTGTACAATCTAAAAGTTCTTGAATAGCTTAACTTCCCCACTCTCATCTCAACCTTTAAACAGGGAGCTTTTACAGGTGGGTGGATTCGCACACAATGAAAGAATAGCAGAAGTCAGGGTTTGCCAACAATACAGACTAAATACTTTATTAGGTTCCAAAATGAGAAAATGGTAGTGTTAACCTATTTTAGTATAAATCCACCACCCTCCGCAAAGAGCCTGCCTTAGCGTCTACGGCACCCCAGTCGTGGTAGCGCCGGTACTCCTGAGGCCTGAGCAGGTACTGCCGGCCTCGGTAGTTGGGCATCTCGTAGAGGACCCAGCAGCCCTCCAACACGTGCAGGGAGCGCACCTCACTGAGGTGGAAGCGGTCCTGGATGCAGGAGCAGTCTTCATTCAGCTCCATCATGAGGCCTTTGTGGTCTTCTCTCTCATACAGCCGCATCCTGTGGGAACCTGTCTGCTTGGGTAACAGAAAGAGCAGAAAAAGCCATTGAGTGTCTTCCAGAACTCATCCAAGCCAAGGGCGGTGAGTTTGGCTGGCTGGGGGAAGAAGCGAACGGGGAACAGAGAAGGGGGATAGGCTGGGGGTGGGGGCAGATGCGGGAACTGCCGATGTAAAATCCGAGCCTCTCAGATTTAGGAGAGCTGTGCACTAATAGATTTGCTAGCAAGTGGTACAAACTCCTACATACCCAGTTTCGGGTTTTCATCTAGGAGGTGGAATTTTTAACATGTTAAAACTGTATTTCAGCCAAAAATTCAAATATCTTAATTCCCAACTCTGTGTTCATTCTACGCTGTATGTTGGCAGAAATATAAATAATAGATGTTGATTAGTGTTTTTTAGTTTTGTATACGTTTATATACATATAAGTCCATCATTATAATGGGATTTCTTTCTAAACTTACATTTTTTGAGAATTTCATGTTAGTACTGAATTTACATCATTCCCAGCTGTCCCATTCCCCTATTTTGTAATTCCCTAGACAAGCTTCACACTCAAGATCCTGTAGCCTGGGCTTCCTGGATTCCAGGGAATCAGTATGCCTGGCTAAAGTAGAGTTCAGAAAAATTAAATAACTTCTGGGAAAAGTTAACTTAAATAATCACTTGAACTAGAATTTAGCTGGTTTTCAAAATTAAGTAAATTACCATTTCCAAAGTTGGTCTCTGTTTTTACACAGTTTTTGGTCGCCATACGTTTCCATGCTTCCTACCCCACAGTAAACTGTAACTAACTCCCTTATCAGAAATTCCGTTATTGATAAAAATCAATCTGATGGGCACAATGCCTTCTCTTGACCAAGCAGCCTCCCATTTACAAATTTTGTCTTACATCCCAGCATAAGATTGCATTCATTGAGACAAGTTTTGATTAGCCTAATGGTAGCAACTATAAAGTGACTTTTTTTCTAAGTAGATTCTTCCTTATAATTCTATCTTCCAGATTGTGTCCCTTAGATAGGCACTTAAAGCCCACTTCACCCTTAGGTACTTCTATAGAAAAGACTTACTCTCTAAACCCCACATCAGTAAAACAGTGAGAACCCGTGGGCAGCAAGAAAGGAAGCCAAACAGGACTCACGTGGGGGATGAGGCGGCAGGATCGGATGGAGTCGCTGAAGCCCATCCACTGCTGGTAGTCAGGGTAGTCCCCACGCCGCAGGAAGTACTGGTGGCCCTGGTAGTTGGGGCGCTCATACAGCATCCAGCAGCCACTGTCCACTCTGATGGAGTTGCAGCGGCTGAAGTAGGTCTGCAGGTTGGGGCAGTCGGTGCTGCACTCATAGCAGCGTCCCTGGAAGCCCCTGTCCTCGTAGAAGGTGATCTGTAAAGGAAGAGCAATTCTGGATGAGATCATTTTCTCCTTGTGTGAAGGCCGGTCCCTCCGACTGTTTGTTTAGTTTGCGTTCTGCTCACCTTCCCCATGGCTGTCTGACCGTGGTGAGTTCAGTGTCCAGGCAGAGAGCGGCGGGTCTATATAGCAGGAGGGCTGCTGCGTTTGCAGGAACAGCACAAAAGGGGCCCTCGGGGCTGAGGGGATTTTTATGGATCGCTTTTCCATGCTGTATTCAGTGGCGGTGATTGTAGATTCGCTTGGTTCTCTGGTGTGTTCCAACGCTGCCCTGGACGAGCTGCTCGGTGTTGTTTTATTTGGATTCTTACTGTTTTTAAATTTATCAGCACATCAGCCTGAACTTTTGACCCGAAGTCCATGCCCCTCCATTTTGATTCTATTATACTTGGTAAGTCTGGGAGAAACCTGTGCATTTGTAGAAGTGCCCCCCCCCCGAGTTGAGAGGGCTGGAATTCAGCGAATATTGCAAATGTTGACTAGTTTCCTAGTATGACAGAAACTGGTCAACGTTATTCCTCCTTCCCACTTATTTCTTTACAGCATTTGCCGGCTAGTTCAGCACACACATCTAGATTCTGATAGTGACTCTTCTCGACTGTGTGCGAATGATGCTCAGGACATAGCCATGAGTTTCTCCTTTGGTGGGGTACACTCTGTGGTGAAAAACCAGCCCCCCATCAGCTTGTGTTAAGAACAAAGGGAAATGTGTCTACAGTCGTGAGGTCCAAGACTGACAAGTTTGTATGAATTGCTCCTCATTTCCAAGGTCAGGGGAAGGCCCAGACTTGCCTGTGAAGAGTGAGGTTTGAACCCAGGCTGCAGGGACACCATAAATCACCCCTCAGAGCAGGAGTTATCTTGTGGGAGAGTGAAGGATGAGAAGGAAAGAAAAGAACAAAACAAAGAAAACAAATGAAGAAGAAAGGACGTCTCTGTCATTTTATCTGTTATATTAGATATCTGTTATATTAGATATAAACAGTCGCAATAAGTACCCGCAGATAAGGTTATCCAGAGTGAGTTTGTCTGAACAAAGACAAATCCAAAGCCAATATATCACGCATGGCATGCTGAATGCCACCCTTCTCAGAGCATTTAAAATGTATCTTAGAGCGCCACTTTAAAATACATTTTAGCATTTTTGTGAATCAAATAATATAATATATCATAGATATCATAGATGCTAGGGAGAGTTCCGCTAATGATCTCTCTCTCTCTCTCTCTCTCTCTCTCTCTCTCTCTCTCTCTCTCTCACACACACACACACACACACTTACCCTGTGTCCCAACCCTATTACTTCTTTCTTTATGGCTTTGTCTTTGTTCTAGCATCCCTCTAACGTGGGAAAAGGTTAATAATATGACCAGTGATACAAATTCACCCCGATTTCTGACATCAGGTCTAGAATCAATGTCTCTCCTCCTCTCCCTACCCACCCCCCCAGGGTCTCACTATGTAGCCTAAGCAAGCCTTGGACATACTGCAATTCTCCTGTTTCAGCCTCCTTGGTGCTGTGATTATAGGTATGTACTGCCAAATCTGGCAAATTTCTCAGCCTTTTTCCCCTTTCTTCCCTCCTTTCCCCTCCCCTCCACTCTTTCTCTGTGTATGGCAGTGCTGGGGATTGGACCCAAGGCCTTATTCATGCTAGGCAAGTGCTATCCCACTGAGATTCTCCACCCAGACCTCCACATTCTTTTAGAGCTTCCTCAAACCACAGCACCAAGGGGTACATCCTAGACACAGCTCTTATAATGTCAGCCATCTGAAAACTACCTTATTTCCTCAGGGTATGTGCTCTCTCTGGAAGCAACAAGTCATAAATTTAACTGCTTTACAGGTGGGCGGTTGAGATGTTTAGCTGACAGACATTAGCATTCATAATGGAGAGTGTGTGTATAATGTTTTTAGCACACTACTTGATGCGAATGAACACTGATAATGCTAGTGACATTGACAATAGTGTTGGAGTGACATCATTGACAATGTCAACCCAGTTCTTTGACCAAAGATAGTGTTCTCAAACGTTCCTGAGCCATTTGCGGCTGAAAAAAGATGTCACTTGGAAAAGACATTAGAAATCTTAGGGGGAGCCGGGCGGTGGTGGCGCATGCCTTTAATCCCAGCACTTGGGAGGTAGAGGCAGGTGGATCTCTGTGAGTTCGAGGCCAGGCTGGACCGACAGCCTCCAAAACAATACAGAGAAACCCTGTCTCGTAAAAACCAAAAAAAAGAAAAGAAAAGAAAAGAAAAGAAATCTTAGGGGGAGGGGGCAGGAGAGACAGCTCAGCAGTTAAGAACACTGACTGCTCTTCCAGAGGACCCTGGTTCAACTCCCAACACTTACATAGCAGCTCACAACTGTCTGTAACTCCAGTTACAGGGGATCTGATATCTTCACATAACATACATGCAAGCAGAACACTAATGCATATAAAAAATAAAAAGGAATCATCATTGTCATAGTTTTTTTTTATTGCTGTGAAGAGACAATATGACCACGGCAACTCTTATGAATGAAAACATTTAATTGGGGGGCTCACTTACAGTTCAGCCCATTATCATCATGGGGGGGAAGCATGGCAGTGTGCAGGCTGATGTGGCGCTGGAGCTGAGAGTTCTACATTTTGACTCAGAGGCAACAGGAAGTCAACTGACTGCCACACTGAGGGAAACGAGCAAAAGAGGCTTCACTTCTTCCAACAAGGCCACACCTCCTAATAGTGCCACTCCTTTTGGGTACCATTTTCTTTCAAACCACCACAACCATAAAAAAGTAAGAAAATAAAAAGAAAGAAAAGGAATCTTGTCAGGGGTGTCTGAGAGTGGTGGTGAATGACATCAATCTCAGAACTTGGCAGAGGCAGGTAGATCTCTGTGAGTTCAAGGCCAGCCTGGTCTACAGAGCGAGTTCCAGGACACAGGGTTATGTAGAGAGAAGAAGGAAGGAAGAAGTGTATTTTCTCACTATTCAGAGTAGCCAAGGTATGGAAGCAGCTTAAATGTCCTTCAATGTTGAAGCATGAAGAAAACATGTCTACTTAAGGGAATTTTATTCAGAAGGAAAGAAGAAGGAAATATTATTGCTTGTAAAGAAATGGATGGAACTAGAGATCATCATATTAAGTAAAATCAGCCAGGCTCACAAAAATGAAAATCACATGCTTTTCTCTCATATGTGAAAACTTAAAAAAATATGAGATGGTAACAAAAGGGCTTGGGATCACTGAGGGTAGGTAGGAGGTATATGGGGAAGGTCAGGGATAAATATGACCCAAGTACAATGGTACAATGATAAACAGGTGTGAAAAATGTCATGATGAAATCCATTCTTTGGTATGCTAACTAAAATTATTAACAAAATAATAAAATATAGCTAATAATAAAAATCAAACCTTTATTTTTCATAAGTCTTTTTTGTTTAAAATTTTTACTTAAAATTTTGCCAGCCGGGCATTGGTGGCGCACGCCTTTAATCCCAGCACTCGGGAGGCAGAGGCAGGCGGATCTCTGTGAGTTCGAGACCAGCCTGGACTACCAAGCGAGTTCCAGGACAGCCTCCAAAGCCACAGAGAAACCCTGTCTCGAAAAACCAAAAAAAAAATTTTTTTTTGCCAAAGCCAGGCGGCAGTGGCACATGCCTTTAATCCTAGCACTAGGGAGGCAGAGGCAGGCAGATCTCTGTGAGTTTGAGGCCTGCCTGGTTTACAGAGTGAGTTCCAGGACAGGCTCCAAAGCCACAGAGAAACCCTGTCTTGACCCCCTCCCAATTTTTTTTTGCCTAAAAAAGTTCTTTTAATGCATAGTCTTTCTATATATCCCAGGCTATATTTCAATTCTATATGTAGTATGAACTGGTCTTGAACTCATTATCTTCCAATCTCACCCACTGAAGTATTGGAATTATAGGTTGGCAGTTGGTGTCCCACATAACTTTTCACCTTCCTCTAGATTTTATATGATCTCTGCCCCTTCTTCTGTGATATTTCCTGAGTCTTGAGTGAATGAATAGACGTTCAGTTTATGGCTGAACATTAGACTGTCTCTCAATCTTATCATGTTTATCAGTTATGAATCTCTGCAATTTCCACAGCCTACTGGAAAGCAAAAAACAAAACCAAAAAAAACTTCTCTGACCAAAACTGAGGTATATAATCAACGTGTTTAACATGACACTTGGGTAACCAAGGATAATATCACGTTCAGTCCAGGCGAGGTGTGGTAGCACCTGTAATCCCAATGCTGGGGGGCACAGAGGCAAGCAGATTTTTATGAGTTTGAGGCCAGCCTGATCTACACAGCAAGTTCCATCTCAAAACAAAAGCAAGTAAACAAACATAGTAAGCCAGAAAATTAGGGATGATTCTAGAATGTTTTTTGCAGAGAAATTGCTTAAGCTGAACCTTGAAGAAGAAAACACTTGTCTGGATGAACAACAACAACAAAAAAGAATTGGTGTCTAGTGAAAAATATTATGACAAGTGAAAATGGGAACCACGCGTGCTTGGTGTGATTAGGCAGGCAACGTGGCAAAAGAGAGTGAGGAGCCAGCAGGGTGTTTCAAGGCCCTGAGCACGTGGACTGCTATGCGTCCCATGTCATTGGCCTAGCATGCTGGCACAGAGCAGTGTGGAACAGAGAAAGGCACAACGGGGCAGAATCAGGAGGCAACTAAGACCCAGCTGAAGTCTGATGAGACCTCCAGGCAAGGCAGCGAGGAGCCTGTAGGGGCAGGAAAGGGAATGAGCTGAGAAGTGGGAGAAAGTAAAGACTATGCTCGTCAGAGGTGATACCGAAATCCAGTGTGTGTGTGTGTGTGTGTGTGTGTGTGTGTGTGTGTGTGTGTGTGTGTGTGTGTGGTCACTTTCTGGTTCCTATGTAACTTGTAAGTACTGCACTTTATGTGATGGAATTTCCACCCTGGCCCTCCCATTATGTGCACATGAACTTCACAAAATAAGGAAGAGAACTACATAGCAAATAGGGTTTCTACTTACTGAGCTGAAAAGACTCTTAGGGATAAGGTTCTATTGCTGAAGACACCACAGGCTCTAGTCCTAAGGCACAGAGGAGTCAAACTAGGATTGGGCTAGAAGCTTCCTGCCTGCCAGACTGAACTTGACATTCCCTGGCTGCCCAAATGTAATGTTCAA